AGATAATTACACGGCAGATTAACAAAGTATATGACTAATTACAGGTACTCGACAGCAAACATATATATCCAATAGGGGAAGTGTTTCGGTTTTAGTAACAGGTAACAGAAGCAATCACTTAACAAGGGAACAACCAAAGTACGGTAATTCAATGTGGCAATTACAAGAAAAATTAGTAAGTAGAACAAATAACTTGAAGACATCAAAAGGTTATTCAGTTGCAGAATATGTAGACAGTACGGGAGCATAATATATGCAAACGGTTTGAAAAATATGGTGATATATGTAAATACATAGGGCAATGAAAGAAGAATTGTATACAGTGAGAAACAAATGGATGTTGTTAAATGAAATGCATATTTTAAAAGAAAATAAAGACAGGAAATCTCTTACGCTCTCCCTGTCTGCAGTCGCATTGCTAAGCAACGAACGTTGTAGCCCATTGTCAATAATTTCAATTAATAAAAACATAGTGTTCCGACCAGAGAAATTAAAATTGAAGCGAAATGCTAATGACAGCCTCGGACGCTTTGGGACCGAGATTCTAAGCCACATGAACGACGGGGTAAGCCTTTTTTCGAAAAATACTTGATCACTATAATCTGTCGATGCAGTGGCACATGAAACAGAGGTAGTTGAATCGTGAAGCGTCAGTTGAGTTGTTAAAAATAAGACATAGGACTAGTTGCAGTGTACCGTATCCCTGATATTGGAAAATACGGATACTTCCCGGTCAAGCAGATATAGAATCATTATGTTTGGTGACATTATCTATAAACCGTGTTAATGCGTATGAGAGGCCATCAGGCATTGCAAACTGCAGCAGAACCCTGCAAGTCAGTTAGGAATAAGTGTCACTTCAAGGCGTGTTTCTCGGATGAAATACAAAAATAACTTTGTATGGTGCGATAAAGTACCCAAGGAAAACGGAATTTAGGTCAATGAATTTGTGGTTCGTAGGTTTTAAAGTTTCAAAATGTGTACGTCATTAAACATTTTCAGGCATCTTTCCGTTTATCTAACAGAAAAATTTCTCATGGAATGATATGACTTCTACTGAAGACTTAATTTCAAGCCCCCACTTTTTTTATCCGGTAAACCGAAATCGGCTTCAGTGTTGTGTACATAGGAGATATCCATGGATAGCTGTGAGTGATTGAAGCGAAGTCCTCAGTGAAAATCATGTCCTTATATGCAGTACTCACCTAGCAAAACAATAAGAATGTGTCTTAAACCGGTAGTTAAAGAGCGGCAAACAACACACATTTTGGACGAAAGAGAGAGGGTAAAGTAAAGCAGATGTTATAGCAAATTTTTTTGGCAAAACGTCCCATCATAAACCTTCACTTGACGAAGAATAAAGCCTGAAAGCAATAAAAAATTTAGCCACTCCATTTTTATTTTTATGAAGATGTACTGAGTGGACTGGGCCGTATGAATGTGCGAAATTGGTCTGGACTGGGTTACTTGCCACTTTACATGCTAAAGCAGCCTACGACATCGTCGGCTCGACGATCTTTCATTACTCCGATTAGTGGAAATATGACGATAAGCAGTAGAGAATGGAGGCTTATGTGGTCTTCAAACTAACCTTAGTTTTGTGCCAAGCTGGATCAAGTTGTGACTAGTTTCCTTACAGCACCGACCAAGGTGATATGTTTAATGATTAGGGAAATACCTTAGTCAAACGGGGATGGCGTGACCGGCCAGCTAATGTCGAAGCCACACCTCATGGTCAGTACTCAGAATGGACTACCCTTTCATCGTATCCAAGTACTATTGCTATTTTGATGACCGTGGAATGCAAACACCATTATTAAAGAAATGTATATACAACAGTAAGCACAAGGATCTGGGAGTGACTACAAACACATAGGTCAGTCCATGACGCGCAATTTATTGACGCACATTGGTCGTCTTTACCTTAACGACAATCGATAAACCACTAAATATTCAGTGTCCTGGACGATGGATGATTTGGCAAGGGCAGTGACATTTCACTGGCAATGCATGTCTGTTAGTACGGTGAGGTATTCTTGCATGGATATTGAACATATTGATATCAATGAACGTATCACGGGAGAAGCATAGGTACTGTAGCTGTAAATAATTCCCCAAAATCAATAACTCATTAAGTGTTCGACATTGGATGCTGACCACGTTGTTTAAGTGGACTTGTTTAGCTGAAGGCTTTCGGTCATGCATCCGCACCAGATCACGTTTCAATACTGCGTGGGACACAGCTCCTACGTTTCATTAGCCAGCTCATAGAAAAGGTCCTCGATATATTGGTAACGAATCAAATATATCTTTCCAGCCTATTCTCGTCCGACTTCTGATTTCTATCTGACTGGGAACAACCGAATTTAGAAGGTGCTACTGGTATCTAGTTGTAAAACTAGAATATCCGTTGCATCATCATTGGTGAGACCGACGTGATCTGGTACACCAAGTCAATATACTGTGAGTCTGTTCCATTTTGGAACATTATTATTCATTGTTATTCTTTATTTGAATTTTATATATTGTGATATACTTTTTTCGCGAATTTTTTTTCTCGGATATATTTTACTTAGACATTTTTCGATATCTATATTACTATGACGGAACACTCTCCTAAGGTTCTTAAGTTCAAGTCTATTCCCCCTATTTCGATTCAGTTAACGCCATTTTGGCCCGACAATATCGAGTCCTGGTTCTGCTATGCAGAAGCCGATTTTTGCATGCACGGAATCACGGACTCGCGCACACGTTTCCTCGCGGTAGTTAAGGCGTTACCGCGCGAGTTTAACAGGTACGTAACATCTAGTATGTTTACTAGTGATGTTTCCGAACCTTACGAATCGCTTAAGCTATCGATTTTAATACGAGGAGACCTAACTGATCGACAACGGTTAGACCAACTCCTTAACAATATCGACTTGCAACATGGTTCTGCGACGGACATGTTGCTTAGAATGAGAGAAGTCATCGGCCAACGAACTTTCGATGATGGCCTATTTAGACAACTTTTCTTGTCTAAACTCCCTCAACAGGTGCAGGCAGTGCTTGTTTCATTTCAAAACAATGCCATAGATGAACTAGCTGCATCTGCCGATCGAATCTTGGAAATCACTAGATCTTCTAAGGCCGAGGTTTTTTCCGTCAAAGAAAAACCCCAATCGACCTCGACTGACATGGCCGAACTATGTCACACGCTTACACGATATCTTAGAGTTCGCAATGACCGTAGTCGGTCAAAAAACCCCGCGTAGAAGTGCCTCACGTAAGCGATCTGGCTCTCGACCACGAGAGACAGACAATCCCGACTGGTGCTGGTATCATAACCAGTACGGTAAGTTATCCAGAAACTGCAGGAAACCTTGTAATTATCCGACCTCAAAATCGAGTGACACGAAAAACAGTTCGGGAAACTTCCCAGCCGGCACGCGTTAACGGCAACCGTAGCCGGCGAACACAGCCGCCTCTTATATGTCACGGATGTGACTACGAAAGTTCGCTACCTCGTCGACACTGGCGCAGAAGTTAGCGTTCTTCCAGCAAATCTCGACGACAGACTTCGCGAGTCTGTTTTAAGTTTACAGGCGGCAAACGGAAAGCCGATCGCTACTTACGGTAAAAGGTACGTCTACCTTAACGTGGGTTTACGTAAACCCATACACTGGATTTTCGTGGTTGCAGATGTCTCTATGCCAATCATTGGTATTGACCTGTTACAACACCACAATCTACTCATCGACACACGCGCACGAAGGTTAATAGACGGAAACACTAAGTTGTCCGTTTGCGTAACTCCTTGTTCTGGTTGCAGGTTATCCCCAGTCACGATTAAGCACGCCATAGACCCCTTGTACCAAGCAGTACTCGACAAATACCCCGGGATATACCAATCGCAATCGAAATTACCTTGTGTAACCAGCAATGTTACACATCACATCTCGACTACAGGACCACCTGTATTTTCGAAAGCCTGAAGACTCGCTCCCGAAAAACTTAGGTTAGCTAAAAACGAATTCAACCACATGATGGACCTAGGAATAATTCGACCATCGAATAGTCCATGGGCATCCCCATTGCACATGGTCCCTAAAAAGGACAGCAATGATTGGCGGCCAACTGGTGATTATCGGCGTCTGAATGCTAAAACCATTCCCGATCGTTACCCGTTGCCTCATATTCACGATTTGACAGCTACCTTGAAAGGTACAACTGTCTTTTCGAAAATCGACTTGGTTAAAGCTTATAACCAAATCCCGATGGCACCTGACGACATTCCTAAAACCGCCATCATCACTCCCTTCGGTCTTTACGAATTTCTACGAATGCCCTTTGGTTTAAGAAACGCGGCTCAAACCTTCCAAAGGTTTATAGACGACGTCTTCCGAGGTCTCAACTTCGTACATGCGTATGTTGATGACTGTCTAATAGCAAGTCCGGACAGAGAATCGCATCTCAAGCATCTGGACATTGTTTTCGATCGACTTCAAAGGCATGGCATTACTGTCAACATTCAGAAATGCCAAATCGGAACTAACTGCTTAGACTTCCTAGGACACACCATTGATGCCCAAGGCTTCCGACCCCTTAGGAGCAAAGTGGCGGCCATTCTGGATTACCTAGAACCGACCACGATCAAGCAGTTACGAACTTTCAACGGATTCGTAAGTTTCTATAGACGGTTCATACCTAAATGCGCATCCCTAATGAAACCGTTAACCGATCAGCTTCGTGGAAATGCGAAATCAATTAGTTTAGACGACATAGCTCGTAAAGCATTTTCCACAGTTAAGGAACACATCGCTAAAGCAACCTTGCTTGCTCATGAGGACAGTCAAGCGCCCATTAGTATCGCCGTAGACGCATCCGACTCAGCAATCGGAGCAGTCTTACAACAATGGGTTAACAACTCGTGGCAACCTTTACGATTTTTCTCGAGACGGTTGCTAGACGCTGAATCTAGGTACAGCACGTTCGGTAGGGAACTCCTAGCTATGTATTGTGCTGTACGGCATTTTCAACATTCCATCGAAGGAAGAGAATTCCCGCTTTTTACCGATCACAAACCTCTTACCTTCTCTTTAACTTCATCTTCAGACGAGTACTCACCGCGAGAGTCTCGACAACTCGACTACATTTCGCAGTTTACTTCAGACATACAACACATTTCTAGTCGCAGACGCCTTGTCTCGAATAAGTTCCTTGAACAGTTTCCAAGGAATCGACCTTCTTAAACTCGCTCAGCTTCAAAAAGAAGACATTGATCTTCAGCATGAGTTATCCTCGACAACTCTTAAACTAAGTATTAGGCAGATGGGAACAGGTAAGGAAACCTTACTCTGTGACACATCTACAGGTAGGGATCGTCCAATTGTACCAAAACACTATCGCCGCAACGTCTTCAATACGTTGCACAATCTTTCTCATCCAGGTGCTCGTGCAACAATCGAACTTATAGCCGAACGCTTTTGTTGGCCTGGCATGAATAAAGACGTGAGGGAGTGGTCACGCTCCTGTGTAAGCTGTCAGAAATCTAAGGTAATCAGACACAACAAATGTCCCTTAGGTTCTTTCAAAACCCCTGACGCTCGTTTCGACCACGTCCATCTAGATTTGGTAGGACCCTTACCCGACTCGAACGGATACTCATATCTCCTAACATGCGTAGACCGTTTTACTCGATGGCCAGAAGCAGTACCGATTAAGGACATTACTGCTGAAACCGTGGCCCGCACTTTCGTCGAACGATGGGTAGCAAATTTCGGCTGCCCTTCCACAATCACTACAGACCGCGGACGCCAGTTCGAATCTGGACTTTTCCGTTGTCTGACCACACTTTTAGGAATCACGCGCTTCCGAACGACCGCCTACCACCCACAAGCAAACGGGTTGGTAGAACGTTTTCATCGACAATTAAAAGCTTCATTATCAGCTTCAAACGTTTCACAGTGGACAGACGCTCTTCCACTCGTCTTGCTAGGTATCCGCAATGCAGTGAAAGCTGACATTGGATACACGGCATCTCAACTCGTTTACGGAACGACACTCCGACTCCCAGGAGAATTCGTGGATCCTTCAGCTTCTTCATTGAACATGGATCTAAACTCTTACACGAGTAGGCTTACAAACGCTATGCGTTCAGTTAAACCTGCTCACACTCGACCTCAATCAACTGATGTTTTCGTTCAACCCGAATTATGACATAGTACACACGTCTTCGTTCGTCGAGACTCACATCGACGACCCCTCGAATCAGCATACGAAGGACCCTTCAAAGTTCTTCAACGCGAACCTAAGTACTATGTAGTTGATAAGAACGGTACGAAAGATAGCATCATTATCGATCGACTCAAAGCTGCGTACCTAGAAGGAAACCCTAGCTACGTCAATTTTCCTTCGGTACAAGCAAACGACACAGCTACTACACTCGTAGTACCCTACACGACAACTGACACACAACTTGATACTTCGTCAACGTCGATAGAAAAACCTAAAACAACGCGTTCTGGAAGACGAGTAAGATTTCCAGAACATCTTAACGAATATTGCACGTAGGACATAAGCTTTATCTGGAATTACCCTTTCAAAGTTTATTATAAATTTTTTTTTAATATGCTCATTTTTTATTTATGTAAAAAAAACAAAACAAAAAAAACATTTTTTTTGAACGTATATAGATATATATATTTATATATTAAAAAAAAACCAAAAGAAAACCTTTTTTCCGATCGCTTTTACGCTGTTTGTAAGTGTATCAGTTTATTTTTTTCCGCTCATCTTGTGTCCTTACGCAAGTACGAGTGTATTTTTGACATGCACTCACACGTTTTATTTTTCCTCTTTTCCAGGACGGCTGGAAAAGAACGACGAAGTTTCGCAAGGAACAGAAATTTTCATTGTACTATATTTCTTTATTTGCTACGTTGTACATCTTGGTCCCATAGTTTAAGGAAAGACGACCAGACGCTGCTAAACGAAGCAAGCTATCAGAAGAGTGTTTACCAACGACAAATTCGTTGGGTTTAAACTTCTGGCTGGTCACGTCTTAGGGGCATCACTACCTCACTAGGGGGGGAGTGATCTGTAGCTGTAAATAATTCCCCAAAATCAATAACTCATTAAGTGTTCGACATTGGATGCTGACCACGTTGTTTAAGTGGACTTGTTTAGCTGAAGGCTTTCGGTCATGCATCCGCACCAGATCACGTTTCAATACTGCGTGGGACACAGCTCCTACGTTTCATTAGCCAGCTCATAGAAAAGGTCCTCGATATATTGGTAACGAATCAAATATATCTTTCCAGCCTATTCTCGTCCGACTTCTGATTTCTATCTGACTGGGAACAACCGAATTTAGAAGGTGCTACTGGTATCTAGTTGTAAAACTAGAATATCCGTTGCATCATCAGTACTATTCATCTTGACTCGTATTGTTTTAGTGGTCATGGCAACTCGAGATCTTATGAACATTTTTCGCTGCCGTCTGACTGAAGTTAGAGGGCTTGAAACCTTGTAGTTGTCGAGGCGGATATTCACTAATTCTGACACGAACATTTTCATCACGTGTGCAAAGCTCTAGTAAGATCCCGACTGGAAAACTGAGTACAATGCGCATGTCATGTCTAAAACATGACTTAGATACAGTGAGAAGAGTAAATATAACAGCTATCTGTGCAATTCTGGAACTTCTAGACTTTTCATACACGGTGCAGCATGACAAGTTAGACCTCCTTACATTGTTCTGCAAAAGATTAGGAGCATACTAGATAAAAGTTAGGGCAAAGCATTGGTGCTATTGTCTTCAATGCATGATCCTGAATTCGAGTCAGAAAAGATATCATCATCCCGCTTTCATCAATACATTTGATGAGAAATTGAATTGCATGGTATCACTAATTTCGACGACAAGTAAAGACTAAATGACGATTTATCTTTTTCATGGAAAATAAGTGACTGTAGCTAATTTAATTTGTTTTAATGCACCAGTATCATATAATTTTACCTAAGTAAATAGCAGACAACTAATTAAGAGTGGTCTGGCAATTATGATTTATCGCCCCCCAATGACTCGTTGACTCAGTTGAAGTGCACTTTGGAAGTTTAAAAACTTACGTGTTCGCCTTAACTTTATTGGGAAGTTTCAGAAAACATACACAGTTCTAAAGATGGACAAGATCTGGAAACTTATCTTCACATTAAATATCGTGACTCTAGTGTCAGGGTACAATCCAATGTCAGAAAAATTAGAAAGCCTGTTGTTGTCATTGGATAAACTTATTTATTACTACGAACAGCATGTCAGTGAATTCAATTTTGATGGTATCTTCGGCTTGATCCCTTTAAAAGGTAATGAACCTTTTTATAAAACTTTCAGGAGCCCTTGAAAGCATTACTGATGATTCCCTGTATGAAAACTATGAAAGGGTTAAGATTGCCTTGTTACCATTGATGAGACAACTTAAGACACAAATTATGAGAATCAACGTGATCATTAGGAAAAGTGTTAAATTTTTTAAGAAAGCAAGAGACCCCTACTTCATGAAAATGGGTATACTTTTGGCACTGAAATGGAATTTTCCGGGTCAGAACACCATGTATTCTTATTTATCGGATCCAGAACCGATATCGAGCGTGCAAAATATTTCTAGTGATGAATGTATTATCCAATTACTAAATACCAACATTTATGGTACTCTTGATTGTCATCTTTCGATGGAATGTATTTTAAAACTCATGAACTTTCACTCTCGTGGTTATGAATTGGTTCATCAAGTTCTATATATTTTAATTTCACATCAAGTAATTTCCCATTATATAATCTTATCAACAGGTTAATTGTACTGATTCCCTGGATGGTATGCTATCAAATCTCTCGACTAGCGTGGGATCCTTACAAAATAAACTGTGTTCAATTTTGTATGGAGATTTTGTCAATTTGTTTCTCAGTTCGGAAACAACCCCTCGAAATCGAGATATTTTACTTGAAGAAAGTACGTTTTTGACTCTGATTTCATGCAAAACTAAACTATATTATTTCTACAATTTTAACAGTTAATCCTAAAATCTTCACCTTATCGCGTTATTCTGAGGAATAGTAAAATACTGATGTTATCATCTAATCTGTGTCTTTTTTTGAAATGTTGTCCGTCATAGCTTTTACGAAAATAAATCGTGTAGCATGGTAATGACGCGGTAACTCTCAAACTCAGAGCGTGCCTTGAAATTAATAAATAAGATTAAAAAAGGATCTCCTAGTGCGTATTTATGTCATACATTTTTCAACATAAGGCATTGATTATGGCTGATATACACATTTCTTCCAAAGGTTTTTCCGTAAATGGTTTTTTAATCATGGTTTTTTTAAACCTATTTTGCTCAGGTTTTTCCAGGGCTAATTGTTCTGCTTCTCGGCATTTCTAAATCAGTGCTTACTTTCTAGTTTATGTCAGAGAGGTAATCACTGTAAGAGTTCACCAAATGGGTATCATCTTGGGTAAACGTAGTTTCTATCAAATAGGAATCCTATCCTTTACACTAGCAATAAGTTGACTATGTGTACGCAGATAATATTCTGGAACGGCTCCCCGAAATGTTCATAATGAAAGCAAAAGTAAACATTTCAACATGTAAAGAAGAACTTTTCTAATTTCAGTCTTAAAGATTCGAGATACTGCTTACTAAGTTTTATGAAAGTACTTTGTACTAGTGGTAATCTAAATAAAGTTTTGGATGTACATAGTTTTGGCTTGTTAGCCATTTGGACGTAGCACCGGGTTTTATTTCCATTTATGCATCAGCTGATTCACACTATAGTGCAGTGTCAAAGTTATTACAAAATTATTCAAACAAAGGTTGTTGTAGAAGAGTATGAATCTGCTACTCAACATCTATAGATTTATTATATATGTCACTTACCTGTGTAGATATAATATTACTTAAAATCATAATTAACTGATTGCACTTATCGTCATATTTTCATCCGTCTGATACATGGGATCAATTAGATGTTGATTCGGAAAAATGGTTTTAACATACAGGTTGAACAGAAATTGTAAGGATAAGAAGGTAGAAAAGTAAGACAATATAGGGGATATGATTCATGCGTAGTTAAGATTTTTTATGAAAATGAAGTGTTATTATCTGTATTACTGACGTTACTTTCAAACTGCTTCAATCGAAGTTTTAGTCTTCTATTACCCCAGACAATATAGAAAAAGCGCTTAAGGTTAGCCACAAAATTTATAGATTCAAGGGTGATGTTCACATTTCACCCATAGACATTTCATCCACGAAACACATTTAAATCTGATACTAAAGTGGTCGGTAGTTGGACACAGTTAACGTGTGAACATAATTCAATTACATTTCTTGGTCGCGTTAACTAACTGACTATCATTTCTTAATAACATGTTTCCCGACTTCCAAATAACTAATCCGATGGTTCTACCATATTTACATAGTAACTAGAAATCGCTCATCGGATACATGAACCTTTATTCCAAACTTCATCTTCAGCGGACACGTTTCGCATCTGAGTAGTAATAACCAGTGTTTTCTAGAACACCTGGATGAATAAGCCTATTTCCTGGTAATAAATCAGGCGGATCTATCACTGCACGTCAATCAAATCTTCTACTTCAGCAGAACTTTTTCTTGTAAATTACCTTTGTCAGCTTCAGTATGAATAGTCCGGAATATTCGGATACTTTGTTTGATAAAATCTTTTGTAGATGTATTTAATAAATTGTATGTAACTGCTAATTTAGTGAAAAACTATACATGATTGCACTTGAGATATCATGTTTAAGTCAGTTACAGTTGGAAACTTCGAATACTGTATATACGTAATCTTTCAAAGTCATAAATTAATAAGGAATGTTTTGTGCTTAATTCTACTTCCAGTGTTCGTTTGCGGAAGTCTTGGCTACGAAAACTTCATCCAGTTTTCGATTCTCAGCAGGGTTTTGTCGTGGCAACAGCCTTCTGGATGTTTTATTTCTTTAGGTTCCACAGATGAAAAAAGCAAACATAAAAATACTAAAATTATGTTTCACGAACGCCATCCCCTTGTTGAACACAGACATGCGGGTGAGGTTATAAATTTTCGTATTTTCAGCATATAGTATTTGTCAGCAGACATTTATTTTAAATTACCATTGGTAGGCTCTAACCTTACGGTTGATTTTCGTTGCTTTTACTTTTTTAATTGAGTTCATTTTTCGAAAAAATTGAATCAATACTCCGAACATTTTAATTCGATCGTATGATCAACATTTTTCCAAAGTGTTGACTTTGAGCTCCCCAAAAGGTCACTTTGTGTACTTATTATTATTGAGGTGATTGACACAGTCGAATTCTTTACTGCTCATGACCGAACTGATGATTGATACCAATAAGTCCTGAATAGACGTTTGAAACTTGCACAGAGATAAACATATTCAAAGCATTACCATAGTGTAACCCAAAGCGCGAGCTACATAATCTGGGTATTGATGCCAGAGAGTAGACTTCTAGAAAGGAAGACTATTTTTAAAAAGATTCGAATCTGAGAGTTTCACGTTTAAAAACACGCCAATGAAAATTGACTGATAGTGAGAGAACTGAGGAATTCTGGTGAATGCCAGCTGATGTAACCAATCTGGTTGCGACTTTGCCTTTTACACCTAGCTTGACCGATAGTATCGAAGTGAAGGACTATTATTAATTTCGTATAGTTCTTTTCGTACCTTTAAATGACCAAGATTTTAATAGAACGTGTCAGCCTCAGTCTTTAAGTAAAACAAAATGACCACACTCAAACGTCAGTATGTCTGTGCTCTAAAAGATGGCGAAGGTTAATTATGTAATCTGTGCATCCACCACCAGTTTTAAAGACTGCTTAACATTATCAGGTTGACTCCCATATTCATATGACGGATGATTATGACTGTTCATATCTTCGAAACTACATCAATCAATCTAACTACTCTTTGATTATCTTACGTGAATTTCCGTTATTTCATATAGACGGAGACAATTATCTATTTAAGCCAGTTATTTGTAACTGAACTCTAGCTTCTACGTACTATTTACTATCTCTATCAATCTTGATGATAATTCTGAACCATTCGGAACAAATATCACTGTAACAAATCAACTGGTCCTTATTAGTGTCTTTGGCTTCATGTTATTTATGATCTCTAAAAGCATGTAGATCTTTCACTCATCCTGTTATAAAAATTGAAAACTGGGAATTAAACGAATTCCTGTTAAAGTGCTCTTCACATTGTTTCACTCATCTTTCCATCCTCCTGGTCTCAGGGTCCACCACCGTAAAGTATATATATATATATATATATATATATATATAGTCTCGGTAATAGCTAATTCTTCAACCTATATCCGTTTGATGAGTTTAAACAACTATCTAATGCTACTTTTTATCACTACTTTCTCCATCACCTTCACTTTCGCTACGTGTGACTGCCTCCAACTCTGTATTTATTTTTGATCAGTTTATCTTTACGTCGTTTTTGTCTACTGTGACGTTTAGGACCTGTCATCAATCGATTTAGTAAGGTTGCTGGTATCCACTAGCCCTACTTAAACCTTCGATTTGAATAACCAACATATATGTTTGTTGTTATCACAGATGTATAAAGGTCATACTGAACTGTCCTACGTTGATTATTTTCGTGTCTCCTTAGGTATCTAGCTAACAAACACCCATTAAACTTTCACTGGATCAGTCTACATGCATCAGAGCATAATCAAAGTTTAGACATGAACCAGTTGAAGTAGGAGTTTTCTGTTATTTATAATATAGGCTACTTTTATCAAATTATGTCTCATATCTGTCTACTTTATAGTTAATTGAATTACCCTATTACAAGGTAACAAATGAACCGTTCCTCATTCAGTTGGATGTCTTTATGGCTTGTTATATGCCTAAAATACGATAAGTATGGTGAACCTTTTCTCATTTTGGACAACTCATTATAATCCCACATCAACCCCAAATACTTTAAAGCTACAAGCATTTTAAAGAGTAGTTAGTATATGGATTATATTAATTTTTGGCTCACACTTCTGAAATGCACTTACACTGAACTTCCAAACACAGTTACACCTGTGACATTTAAAACATTTATATGGTGCACTTGAAATAAGTCATATGATGCTAAGAGAGCTAATGCTTTGAATGGTTATCTTCAAAAATTTTAAAAATGAAGAGAGTCTGCACTTGGGATTAAAAAAAACATGTATTTCAGTTCAAAACTATCCAAGTAACATTCAGCATGTCTTCTCTTCCCATACTTTAAACAAAGCGCATCGTATTTACCATGCACTTTTAAAAAAGGTGATCTGATCACATGATTAAGTCAATTATTTGTGGTATCGATATAAGTCCAGTTTTTTACTGTTATTGCCTACTTCGATAATTGGTCATTAGATCTACCTGAATAACTATTTTCTATCAAGAAAAAATAAAGATCATTAAAACACTCTTCACTGGCCATTACTGGATTAATGTTTGTCCATCAAGTACATCTGACCATTATCTTATTATTTTATAACTCATCTACTGTTAAAACAACTATTTAGTCTAAATATTTTATTCCAAGTATTGTTATTCTTGTAAAACATGATACCCGTCAGGTACATGTATTTTTCATTTAATTATCTGTTTTAAAAATTAGCATTAAACTGAAGTAATCAAATTTCTACAAAAAATAACCGCAAATAGTTCTAGACTAGTATTTAGCTTTTCTTTTTTCATAAAACACTGACTTTAGTTTCAATTATTTCGACCTAGTTTAAACGGGCATCTTGTTTTCATCAAATTAGTGTAGGGAAATACTTATATGAGGTCATGCGATAGTTGATGAACCACTGTCACCCATGTAATCGCTTCACCATAATTCTTAGTTCCTCTGGGACTGTTAATTTATCAGGTATTCAGTGATAAAAGACTTCAAAATCTTTCTTACTGAACGGCAAATATGATCTTCATTTAGCCTATTTCGATTGTGGAGATCGGATGTTTTAAAGATGTTTATAGATACCTTCACTTAGTTCCTGCAATTATTTATTATTTGTTATTCCTATTACTTTCTTCGTTATTATTGACTAGTCTGTTTCACTTGAATATTATTCCAGATGGTTGTCTATCACACATGACCTCTGTGGCTGCAGCTGTGATGGGTCTGTATTTTAGAGCATTTTTCATCCCCACAGGGTATGTAGATGGATATTTGTCGGCTTCAATGCCTATTATATGGAAAGTTTTTTTGGTCAGATCATACACGTAAGCATATCAATATTTATTTTTTGAGAAATTTATTCTTTAGTTTTACATTGACGTTTTTTTATTGTACGATATTTAGTATTAGGAAAGTAGCCTAAATTCTTTATCATGATATCAGTTCGTTCTATAAATTAACATCAATTATAACTCAAACTCATCCACTTGTTTCTCGCTAAAGAAGATGATCTACAGCCCAAGCAGATTCGTTTGGTAGTACTAAGTTCCTGAACTTGGACAATTTAATTGTGAAGGTTTGACGGTTTCAGTAGATAATATTGTTATGGTCTATCTCATACCGTAGTGTGCTTTTTTATTACTTCACAAACGTTTAATGGGTTTATACTTATGGATTTGTTTGCAATTGATCATCTGCAGTATATATATATATATATATATATATATATATATATATATATATAACGCCGTCTACATCATCTTATATTTAACTAAAGTTATAAGCATTCCTCCGTTAAACTGAAAAATTTCACTCTTAGAATTTAAAATTAAAAAAAACGATAACTGATATTTTAATATAGAGGGTTCCTGTAGATTGTAGAATTTTTGGAGTTATAAACTGATTTTAGCTAAACCAACATTAAAAACCTAGAATCACTGAACAGTCGTTTTGTCTTACCATGAGACTAAACGGCCGTTGAGTGCTTCCATGTGTTCAAAGATGTTTTAGCTATGATCAGTCCATGGTTTAAAACTGTGACAATTGACATTTTGTTGAACTTACTTCTATTTTACTATTGTCGCCCTAATATATTTCTGGCTTTTAGTTCACTTCCAAAGCTGATAGAAGATGATAATAATCAAAACGGAAATTCAAATCAAAATATATCGAACTCATTTGCAAATCGTTTAATACATGTTAAAGGATCAATGTATTTACCAAGTGGCATCCCATTTAGTTTAAGTTATTCAACACATTTTAAAGATAAACTGGACTTAATAAATTCAGATTATTTACTTATTAGTATTTTACTCTTATGTTCTATTTGTATATTTCTCTATTTATTATTACGTAGTTGTATAGTTTATTGTGGATTTTTTAACTCGTCTAAATCAACTTCAAAAGTATAAATAACAAGAAAAAACGAACAAAACAAACTACTCTATCATTTATCATCTATCCTTTATTCTTTTCAACTTGCCATTTGGTTTTTTTGTTTAAATGAAATTTTTGTAAAAAACGTTTAATTGTGATAAAACTTCATCTTTGAATAGAAAAAAACAATATTATAATTTATATACATCAAGTGTGTGAATTCTTTTAACAGACACACACACATACATTACAATTTACTATGAATGATGATAGCAAGTATTATAGAATGGATCTTATATATAACATAGTTAATCAATTACTTTTCTTGTATACGATTACCTTCTAGACGTAAGATACGAGTATAATGACCGAATAAAATATATTTTATTAATTATTCACAATTTGATTATATAATAATGTAGAATCAATTTATATACATAAAGTAAACAATTTCTTATTATTCAGAAGCTATTGCTTCACTAAAATATCATTTTTTATTTTGTCAAATGTCATGCTATCGCACGTTAGATATGAATAAAAAATTAACATTTGTCATATACTTTATTTCGAAATGAAATGTCAAATGTACAGTTTTTTTTAGATGATTATAACATATTAGTAAAAAAGAAAGTGGAGGATTTAGTTTATCCGTTCAAATGAATAATTATGGTGTAACTTACTTATCGCTGCTAACTCTCGTGGATTATAGGCCACCGACCATGATTATCTCACCAATATTGTTCTGAGCTTTTCTTTCCGAATACCGCCGATTGAGTGGACAAATGTTTATAAATACCTGTAAACTTTTGATGATGGTTATAAGAGTTCTCCAAGTTTAAATTCTGTAAAATAGAACTACCTTGATGCTCGTACTGAGCAAGCTGTCAATTGTATAATGCGCTTTCACTCAGTTGTGAAGACTTCTGTAATCCGGTTGACCATCAGAAGAAATAGAGAGAATGAAATGAGGCAGTCTTGTCTGATACCGATCTTCACTTGCAATGCATTTGTGAGCTGTCCTCCATGCACGACATTGCAGTATAGTTCACCCAATGAATTGCATATGATGTTGATGATCTCTTCAGCTATATCACAGTGTCGACAAAAATTCTATTGTGTTCTCCTATTCACACTGCTAAATGCATTCTCATAGTCAAGGAAGTTGATGTGTAGTGCCGAGTTCCATTCAATCGACCACTCAACAATGATCCGTACAGTCGCGATGTGGTTCGTGCACGATCGATCCTTACGGAATCCCGTCTGTTGAACATGAAGTTATGCGTCTAGTTAATATTTCATCCGGTCCAAAAACACTCTGTTGAAAAGCTTTCCTGGTATTGACAGTAGTGTGATACTCGTGTAGTTGTCACACTTACTCATATCTCCTTTGATTGGTATCTTGATGGGTTATCATTCTTTCCAATCTGTCTGCATTTGTTCCTCTCAAATCTCTCTGAAGAGAACCTGAAACGTGTTTGCATTTGCTTCTATGCATAACTTCAGTGGTTCGACTATTATCTTGTCTGGTCCCACCACTTTCCCACACTTGATCTGTATGATGGTAATGCTGAATTCTTCGATTGTTGTTGGAGTGTGATTGATGGGATGTTATTGGTTTCAGTGTAGCTGGTCTACTCGACAGTCCTTCAAAGTGTTCTACCAATTTGTTCCTGTGTTTCTGGATCTCAGTGATTATCTTGCCTTCTTTGTCATTGACTGGTCTTTCTGGTTTACCGAATTTCCCTACTAGATTCTTGATTGTGTCATGTAGTTGATTGATATTTCCTTTTATTTCAGCCGTTTCTGTTGTCGCTGCTGATTGTTCTACGTATTTCTACTTGTCAGCTCAACTACTCCTCTTGATTCACCTATTTGCTTTTGTTTATTCGGTCTGTGTCTTGGCTGCTGGTATTCGATCATAGGTATCTTCGAAACATTGCTCATATCCTGGGACCACCGGGTAAGTAATGCAGCTGTTAGGAAACGGGTACTAGGTAAGGATGGCAAATTGAATGATGAAGTAGTGGGGATTCATCAGTTGAGATGGCTTGGACACGTTTTACGTATGCCAAACCACTAACTGCCTTGACGTGTAATGTTTTATGGTGTAGGAGTAGGTTGGAAGAAAGGTAGGGGCGGCCAGACCAAAACGTGGCACAGATCTATGAAGTCACTGATAATTGGACTGAGCCATGGTAGATGTTTGACAGTCCCAAACTTATATGCTCTAAACTATGTACTTCGCCTGTAACCTGACCATTTTTTCGGATTATTAATTTGGACACATATAATTGTAGAACCTGAAGAGAATTTATCTAAAAGAATATTCTTCGTTCAAATATTAGTCTTTTGACATGATATTTGTTATCGAATAAAGGTTTCTTAGTATATTCTGTTATCAGAATGTAATTCATTTTTTACATTATAAATTCATATGACATATATAAGAAGCCTTGGATTATTTGCCAAAGAATTTATTTATTTCACATGTTAACGCCTATATGTATAAACGTGTTAAAAAGCTAATAAATTTATATGAACAACTAAACAAATGAAATAACTGTCAGTAATTAAGTTTTATAATGACATTCATTTAATAAGAATAAATAAGTGAAAGAGCTTATATTTTAAGCTGTTAATATAAACCATGTTGGTTAATAACTCATTTAAGTAATATATTTTGAACAAACAACTTTATCACACATATAACATTTAAAGGATTTACGTCATTTTTAGACGATCTTTCGTTTTTGTAATGAATAAAATCTAGGACAGTTAAGGAAGATATTTTATTTCAGTTTTTTATATATTTAAATGCTTTTTAATCAATAACAATCTATCATCAAAAGGTTTCTATAGCAAACATAAATTATTCCTTTTTACTCAATAATATTGTTCAGTGCATTCTAGAATGGGGGATCGTTTACCTTTTGGCAAATTAAAACACAATGAATGTTATTTAAACAATCTTTTTTTAAATATTATTTTTTTTGTTGGATACAGGTTAAATCTGAATAGTTATTTGAATGATAAAATGAATAGAAGTATAAAGGAACAAAACTTATTTTAAGTTATATCCTCTCAGTAACGAATCAATGTAATGATACTGTAGTGAATAAGAACGGTAGTGGGGACTAATCGAATGTATTCAAACTCAAAATTACAGAACGTCTTAGTAAAATCTGTGAAACATGCAGTTAATACTTTATTTGCAAAATATTAATCCATTGTCTCGAACTTGACTGTTCCTTTTGCAAATATCAGTCAATCGTCCCAGATTTCATTGTTCCTGCATTTTCATGTCAATCAATTTCTGTTTCCGTTCTTTCCTTCTCGATCTTCTACTGAAATACATTCTATTCCTGACTATCGTTGTATACTACTTATAGAGGATATAAGTAGCCCACATCACAGTACTAGACATAAATAACAGATTAAAAACAATTTTTTTTTAAAACTAAAAATAAATTCATCATCAGTTAGCATAGCTGATTTTCAAATATTTGGAATAATTTGGAATAATCATTACTACTATCCAAAAACGTAAGAAAGGTTCATTTTAACATAGTACTAATTTTCATGACATTTGGTTGATTATATTCGTCCACTCCTATAGAATGAACATTGACTTAAATAATTTGCCAGTTAACGGTGTATTACTCAGTATGAAACGATACTCTAAATCTGAGGGTTAGTGTTAATACCCGGCTGATCAAAGCCAAGTAGGGTTTCCACTCGCCATATATTGTTTGGAAACAGTGTTTTATCCTTTAAGGTACAGCTCCATCTTGCTCTTTCATATTACGCATTACAATCAAACTAATGTGATATTTTTTCCCTTGCTTCATGAGATTGAAGGGCTTCCAAAAAATCCTAAAGGATACAACTGTCACCTGAATTAGTCAGGAAAATTTTGTGTTGAGATTACTTCTGCGTGAGGACCTCAAAATCTTGATAAAACGCACTTTTAAAGGGTAAGAATCGATCGAGTAATTTAAAAGCCCTTACAACAGATATCCAGCTTTTATTTCAATGATCTGATTAATTTAAATTCCCAAATGATCTAATGGGATAATTTACTGATCAATGCAATATTTTGATTTGCTCCGAGTATTCATTATCATGTACTGTGCATAAATAATCTGCTGTGGTTGATTCACCTGCTCTGATTGAGTATAGGTATAGGGATGCCAATGCTTTTTTAAAAAAATTTAATCTTAAGCGATTCCGACAATTTGAACGATTGTTTAAAGTTGAATTGTAAACGAAATGTAAGATAATGAAAATTGATTAATAAGTTCAAAATGTCACACAGTTACAGAAGCCATTAGAACAATTTTTTGGTATATTGAATATTTTACACAAGTCTTTTACATGTTGAGAGAAATCATAAACTTGATGGGATTTTTTTCTAGGCATTTTTTGACAGAATAACGAAACTCATAGAACAAGTCATTTCGGTTAAGAAACAGGAAGGTATTTGAATTCACTTGATATTTTTTTGCTAGTATCTTCCCATTGTTATTTAGGACTGCAATTGATCAGTCTCTTATTGGAGTCCCAAAGTGAACAACAATTCTGAGATACAGGTACATCAGGCTGACCAGTCCCAAATAGAACGAAATGCGAATCTTGGATTCCACTGTTAGTTCAGAAATTCCAAGATAATAATTAACAAGCATATTCTGTGAAAAGAGTAAACGATTTCTATACAGCCCGAAATCTTTAATCACCTAGGATAAATTTTATTTTTTACAGGTCATTCCATGTTACTATTCCTAACTAACTAACTGTAGTAAATCATTAATTGTTAAATCAGTAAATGACAATAATGAATGGGTGAAATTTAATTGTTTTTTTTAAAAAAAGAGCAATCAATTCACGAAATACCAAACTTTGAAATTTAAATGGAATCCAATTGTTCCAATAATAATAAGAATAATAATTTATGTATATCATCGAAAATTTAATAAAAGTACAAATTCGATTCAGTTTATCAATGAGTTTATATCTAAACTAAAAGGATTACAATTGAGTAGTAAATGAAATCAAACAAAAATTCACATAAATTCACTTATTATTGTTTGTTTTAATCTTCCCATTGATGTTCAGGACTGCAACTGGTCAGTCTCTAATTTCCATATGTGCATAATGTGCGTATTGCCTCGATATAGCCTAAATTCACAAGCATTGTAAGCAAAGATGGATAGTGGCTAGCAGTGGAATCCAGGACTCGCGTTTCGTCCCATTTGGGACTCACCAGCTGAATGTAGCTGCATCACAGAGTTGATGTTCACTCTGTTACTCGAACCCAGTACCTTTCGCTTCAAACGCCATCACGTTATCCGCTCAGCTATTGAGTCCTGATAGCCACTTGCTTGTGCAATCTTACTTACTTACTTACGCCTGTTACCCCTCGTCGAGGAGCATAGGCCGCTCACCAGCATTCTCCATTCAACTCTGTCCTGAGCCTTCCTTTCCAGTTCTTTCCAGTTACTATTCAGCCTTTTCACATCGGCTTCTATTTCCCGGCGTAGTGTGTTCTTTGGCCTTCCTCTTTTCCGCTTCCCCTCCGGATTCCAAGTTAGGGATTGAGTCGTGATGCACATTGGTGATTTCCTTAATGTATGTCCGATCCACTTCCAACGTCTTTTCCTAATTTCCTC